CAGGTTAGAGTGGGTCCCTTAGCGCCCTGGGCACCAGGACCCTTCCAGTCTGTAGGTTCCCAGATACACCCACCCACATCCTCTTGGGCTCCTACGCCTACCCCACTGCCCACTTCCTGTGCCTGAGGAGACACTGGGGCGTGTGGGGTAGACTGTGACAAGGAGGCTGGGAGGACCCGGGGGCGCTCCAGAGGGGGGTGGGCGCTAGAGGAGCAGATGGGAAGAGAGGTGGGGGAGGGGACGCTGTCTTGCTTCTGCCATCCTTAGAGATGGGGGGCCTGCCACATCCCTGAGATGTCTTCCCCAAGCCCGGGAAGCCTGGGGGAGACCACCTCCTGGGGCCGGGCAATGACTCCCTGTCATTGGGGGCTGCTGAGTGGCAGTCATGCTCTGGCCAGGCAGTCGGCCCCGTGACGGGCCCGGGCGAGGCGAGCCCACGGTGCCAGCGCCTGCAGCTCAGTTGGGTGCCGGCTGGCTGTTGGCATAGGCCTGGTCGGGGAAGGAAGCCCGCGCTCTGCGGTTCTGGGCGCACACCGAGGCGTACAGTTCCCGCTCAGGGCCCGAGGCCTGGGCCTTTGGCTCGGGGTCCAGCACTACCTCCGAGTACTTGATGGGGGCCCCCGGGCTGGGGCCTCGGCCCTGAGCGGGCCGCAGCTGCAGGCTGGTGTAGCACGTTTCCTCCTGTGCAGCCTGGGGAGACAGCCTGTCAGAGGGCCGCGGCCCTCGGCCTCCTGCCCTCCGCTCCTCATCCCCCACCAGACTCACCCTGCTGGGGCCCCCAGGGCCTGGATCCTGCTGCTCTGGGTCTTGAGACAGCCGTCCTGAGACAGGGAGCGGGAATCTGGTCAGTTCCTCGTTCTCCTTCCTGCAGCCCCCAGCTCCCCGTGGGGCCTCCGTGCCCCTGCCCGCTGCAGCCCCTACCTGTCTGCAGGTAATGCAGGTTCCCATACAGGGGGACCTCTTCCACAGACCCTCCGGAGCTGCAACACAGAGTTGGGGCTGAGCGGGGCTCTGGGGCCAGGCTCAGTGGCAGGGCCGACCTCCAGGTAGCCATTCCGGTGGTGTCCCCCACTTACCGTCCCTGCACTGAGTGGCGCCCGCTCCAGCCACTAGTCCACTGGGCCAGGTGTGTGGCCAGCGAGAGGAGCAGCAGCAGCGTCACAGCCCCGAAGAGGGCCCATAATCCCCAGGCCTGGCGGATGGACGGGATCCCTGCGGACAGCAGAGCACGCGGGTGGCACTGCCCAGCCCACCAGCCAGCTCCCGCCGGGTGGGACCCTGGGCCGAGGGACCCTCCCCCGGGAGCCCCTGCCCCGCCCAGCTCACCGAGCGCTAGCCCATCTGTGCAGTTGTCACTTCTCCACATGACCGCCGCTGGTGTGCCAGCCAAGACCCAAGCACCCTGCCCTGAGCCCAGAGGTCAGCCTGACTCATGGTCTGATGGCGGCCACGGCCCCCCTTACTCCCAGCCTTCCCTGGACCTGGCGCCACAGCTCGGCATCCCCAATACTGGTGGTGACAAAAGTGGCTGGCTTCCGGGGAGGAAGGGGGAGGGGATGGATTGGGTGAAAGAACAAAGACACCGCCCTGGGCCCTGCACCTGCATGCTGCCGCGGCTCCCAGGCGTGCCCTCCGCCCTGTGGCACGGGGGCCCCCGGAAGAGGAGCACACGGGCCTGAGTGTCCTGGGCCACGGTGCCCGCGAGCCTGGGGAGGCTCCCGAGAGGTGGCAGTGACGCCCAGGGCAAGTGGTGCCAGGCAAGTCAGGGCCAGCAAGGACGGGGCACCAGGCCCTAGGGTCCCCTCCTGCCAGAGGACGCCTACCTCTGCTCTCTGACTCCGACCACCGGGAACGGAAACACGTAGCTCAATAAGCACGTTCTGAAGCAGGTCACGGTGACGGGCAGGCCTCCCGCACCTCCGTCCCACCACAGCCTAAGTCTGACCTGAGGGGCTGGCTTCACTAGGACTACTAGTATTTACTAGTACTACTAGTGTTTACTAGTGTTACAGGGAACAGTGGAAACTAGGTGCTCCTCCCTGCCCCCCCACCTACTTCCCCCAGACTGTCCCTAAGAACTGTCGCTCTTAGTTATCACCCCGGGGAGTGGAGGACCAGCCGCGCCCACCGGCAGCTGGGCCACACAGGAGGCTACTGATGTGAGAAGACAGACCTGCGTTCCAAATATAGACCTGAGACCAGATGTCAGAGATGTGTTTTGTTTGGCCCATACAAGGTTTTTGAAAACTGAAAATTCGTTGCCATGGTGTGTCAAGGATGGGGAGGTAGGAGAGGACCTGCCTCTCCGGTTTTAGGCTATGGGGGGATACACTGTAGAAAGTGGGAGAACAAAAATTCGAAAAGATCAGCCTCCTTTCTCTCATCACCACGGACCAGCAATTCCAAAAACAGGTGGGTGATAAGATCCCCTTCCCTTAAAGGTATTTATTTGGTAGATTTAAGTCCTAAATTTCTGAGGTCGCCCTTGCATTTTACAATAGATAACTTTTAAATTAGTACATTGTTAGAACTTACCCTTTAACAAACATTGCAATTTAGATGGGCGTACCCCAGGGGAAGTCTCATCACACAGCAGACCCACCTACGTGCGGTCACTCCTGGAATTAAGTCCCCAGCACTTTGAAATTGTTCAGACTGCTTTGGGGACAATCTCTGTCTCCAATCCCCGTGGCTGGACTACATCTTCCTGTGTTTAACTTGTAGATTTTAATAAACAATGACACACAGTGATTGTAAAATTGAAGAAATTAAACGAGTAACTTTTAAGTGTGACAATCTATGTGACCACCTGAAATTCTTATTTATA